AATTAATTAATTACTTTATAAAAAAGCCATTATTTAACGATGTAATGTGCTTCAGTTTCTCTCTATCTGCTCCGCGCAATGTTCTCGATTTCCACCAATCTTCAGTGATGCCTATATTCGTGAGCGACGAAAGAGGACAGAAAGTGAACCGTCCTGGAAAGGCGAGGAGAAGGCAATGGCATCGTCGTAGCCGGGCTGCTATCATAGCCGAGCCACGTTGTATAGATAAGACGGCCCACGCTACGCTTCCTTCCTCCGCGATGATCCCACTTTCCGTTTTCTCCCCCGCGCGAATGCACTGATTCGCTGTATCGCGACGGAGTCCGCGACAACAGACAATTTTGCCTTTCGTCCGGCAGAATTAATTTTTCATAATTACATAGATTCCGCTGTCACAAGAGCGCGATGTGACAGCGGAATCGCACGATAAAAAACGCACAAATATGTATTAATTTGTAACATTGTTTATATAAATTATTAAATTATTAAATATTATATAAATTATTATATTAAAGGCAATAAAATTATATTCCACAATTAATTTTGTTCGAAATTTCATCTGTAAAAATAAAACGCAATTGTATTAATAATTCATGAGAAATTAGTTATTTATATAATACATTTCATTTATGACAATTGTCATAAATATGCTTTATGTTAAAAAAATATATATTTAGATTTCTTTTTAAATTTAATTTCAGGAGATGTAAGATTATTATAAACAAACTTGTATGATTTATATAAAAAAATCATTTAACAAAATTTCATTTATATCTTTGTAATGTTGTAATAAAATAAATGCGTAATAAAAAATTTATGATTCTTAATGTAAATCGAGATCAATAATTTTACATGTTATACATGTATACATACAAGGAAATGCTATCGTAAAATTATTGTCATACTAGTCATATAACTTTACTGCATTACTTCTTATTATATTGATATATTGAAAAAGAAACGAAAACAAAAAAAATAGCATATTTTATGATTTTATCATTCTATATCATTAAGGATGCTAGCTTTTATCCATTTGTTGAGTGCGTGGGTGCTACGATCCTGGTTACATTGGTGGGAGTTGAAAGTAAGCGGAGAGTAAAAAAAGTGTTAACCGACAGATTCCTTTCTTACTGACGATGACTGTATTCCACATTTTTGTTTAGTACCAATAGAGGGCACATATGACTGTAATGATTCTAGCAATTAATTATTGTTTTCGCTGATAGAACAGAGGATGACAATGTGTAAAAGTTAAAAATAATATAATTTTGAAACCTTTGTTTGTAATATTTTCTTTAACTTTATAAAAGAAATTTCTTGTTACAAAACATAATATTTATTATTCATAATTTAAATATTAATAAAATTTTAATTATTATTATTTTATATTAATATTTTATTATCTTATATAATTTTATTCTAATTTAATGAAACGCATTGTTGTCCTTATTTTTCATTAAAAATTTTTTACTCCAAGTTTAAAAGAATGAATACTTTTATTTGTAATTTGTTTTTGGAAGCAATTTCAATTAAATTTCTATTAATTAATCGATTATTAATGCAATCAACAAAATTGCTCGAAATAATATTTGTAATTATTTCGTTGTCCTAAATTTTTATTTCTTTATGTTAAATAAAAAATTTAATAATTTTATCTGCATTAACAAAATAATACACACGCTACTTGATATGCTAATTAATAATTAAATAATTCAAATTTAGTCAAAATAAAAGATTAACAATGATTGGCATTAGCGAGAGAACATAGTAGTTTTTTATTAGACACATTTTTAATGTTACAGACATACGATACAGATTTATATCAAGAAATATTCATTATTATTTATGATAAATTTTGATAATGCAAAGTTGCAAATTGATAATATTTATAAATTAACAATCGAGACATTATTTCATACAAGAGATACATTGTTAAGTTATCGTGAATGATCGTGATAAAAATTTTTATTTGACGATATGTATCATGAGTTTTACATAATGAACAAAGCGAAAGCTGAATAAATATGATGCCACTAAATTTATTAGAATTAATATGTAATCTTATTGTACATCGTTGATTATTCTATTCCATTTAGACAAAATGTTTTATTTAATTTCGAAGAAATTTTAGAAGTTTATTCATAAACAAGGACATTTTTTGAAAAGGCAAAATATACATATTTATATCTAATATAATTAATTAGTTTTAACCAAAAATGTTTAACAATCGACAAAGAGAAGAAAGTACGTTTGTAAGTTGATTTTAAATGCGTAGCGATAAAAACGCGCATTATTCCATAGTTCATGAATCATAATTATCGTTATCGAACGGATGAAAAAAGTGAGCGGTCAGAAGACAGAGCGAGTGTGCTATGATAATAGGCGACGTTATAATAAAATTCTCTATCTATTTTAGGAAACGATAAAAGAAAGATTGAAATTCCGAAAGAGCAGCATTCTAAAAAGATGAGGCGTTTCTGCATTTGCGAAATACCGTTATCCATTTTTAAGCTCCTGACTACTCCGCGTTGACACAGCGTCGAGGTGATGAAGATGAAAGAAGTTTATTCATTCTTATTCATCTTATCCTTGTCTTTGTTCGTCTTTATATTTAAGTGACGTGTCGACAACGAAATTTCTTATTGCACCTAAGTTATTATGCGCTTAATGTGACTTGCCTATCAAATTCGTAAAAATGGACGACAGCTAAAGTTATCTTTGAATTTTATATGTAAAAGTATATTTTTCACTTCTTTCAACAGCTGTCAATCGTGTGTTTGATTAGACTTTACAACTATTTATTGAAGAGGAAAGTATAGTAAAGTAACTGTCCATTTTCACAAATGTCTTAAAGCCATTTCAAGTGTCATTTTAGTCAAATATCTCTATTTGCAAATTACACGCAATAAATTTCACTGTATCATTTCTCGCTTACGACGTCGCTTATCACGATTCCAATATGGCCGCGGCTTCTAAGTCAGGAGCCTTAAATTTTATTTTTACTCATGCAGATTGATGATACTTTCCTGGAGACTCGTCTCGTTTTCACTTATTCGTTTCGCAAAACTCTTCGTCATTTTCGTTCGTTTTACGACACATCTATCACATTACATAATGGGCAAGTGTTTCTTAAAAAAATCCTACTGCTTTCAATTCCAACATGGTACAATTTTCTTCCGGAGTCAATTTCTTGCAGAAAGCTCGTTCTCTTCATTTCCTCATACTTCTTCTGAAGTGTCGCGCGATGTTCGCGATGTTTGATGAGTGTTTCCGATGTCACCGTCTAAATATACTCGGCGAACATTATCCAATAGGTGACGTTCAGTACGGCGAATAGAAAAGGGAAGAAGACGCGAGATATACGGTCGATGTTCAATGCTCGTATTCGTGCCTTTTGGGCCGGGGTAGGTCCGGGCGGTGGAGCAACCGGCGATTTCTGCGATCGGCAGGATAACAACATTGCGTTTCCCTGCGTGACAACGATTACAAGTTGAACCGTCATCATGCAGACTGTCTCCCGTGCCTTGAATGGAATTTAGAATAGAAATAAGGATAATGTTGCAACATGCAAACTATCGGCATGTTAAAATAACCACGACCGACGCGAAGAGTCTTCTTCAAAAATTTTTCTAAAGCAAATTTTTCATGAATATTCTTATATTATCTAATAATTTATTTTATAATTTATTCAGTAATTAATATCTTTTGATAAATGTAGAATAAATAAATTTTTTTTTCAACAACGATGCGCAAATAAATAAATTTTCTTTAGCGCAATGTGCTCGCTTCATTTTCCCATTCGAGGCACGGAAGTGGAAGTCTAAAGAGAGGAGACTTTAGAATCAATTTTCAACAATCACGATGAGATTTTTTTTTTTATCAAAGAATCACGAAATGGTAATTTTTCTATATTGTAAAAAGAATTCTCCCGCATTGTAGCAATGCCGTTTTTATCGGATATTTCTTTATCTCAGCCAATTAATTTAGGCTCACATAATTTTATAATATCTCGATAAATTCGATTCTTAAGGCTTCCTGGGCTATTCTAAAAACATTCAAAATATTATTATTACCTTGTTGGCGGCTATGTCGAAGATCTTGTCGAACTTAGCCGAGTCCGCGGTGCTCGAGGATGGCGGCGGTGGTGGAGGTGCGGGTTTCGCTGCGGGCGTATCCGAGTCGCCAAGAACAATGTTCACCAGACAATACTCCATCAGTGCCATGAACACGAATACCGTGCAAACTGACATGAAGGCGTCGACGGCCTTCAGGTACGAAACGGGTGGTAAAGAGGCCTGGCTTTTGGCGTGCTGCGTGGAGAGGGTGAGCAACGAGGTGACTCCTAGAGTAACTCGGGCGGGTGCGGCTTCAGGTTTTATCCAGAATGACACCCACTGCGACAGGCACGACATTCGTGGTGAAAAACACTGTTGCAAGAATATCGCGAGAAAAAAATATCTCTTTGCGACATCTCGTTGCGATATTTTACTCACCGACATGATGACGATCAAGCACGTTGGCACGTAGGTATGGAATAAATAATAACCGAGACGTCGTTTCAGCACGAACACAACTTCGAGGCAAGTAAAGTTACCTGGAGGTTGCGACGTAATCTTCAATGAAGTATCCGTGCGTGATATTTAGCTCAGAATTAAATTCAAGTGATATCAATGCATGGACGTTCGATCGGAGAAATTTCTCACACGTTGAAATAACATCGCGTGAAATACTTGCACAGTCTCGAAATGTAAGAAAGGGTTGATTGAAAAAGTTAATTGAAATGATTATCTATTTTAATGTGCAAAGTATTTCATAGTATATAGTATGATACGCGATATTATTCTTAACATAGCAATAGTTATTCATCAGTCATTTACCAAATGTAATTTACTTACCAGTGGAATAGACCTGTGTGCAGTCGGCCGTATAATTTTTAACGAGCTGCAACTGGGGCAATTCAATGTTTTCGTCTACAACGAGAGGAACATCGGGATCCCACTGGAAGATCATTTCGTCTGTCGTGTGCGATACTGTCGACCAAGTTATTTCGTTTTCACATGAGACATGTATGCGTAATGTTCGATGACGTCATTATGTTTATTTATTATATATAATTTTTTAATTACATATAACTCATTTATCATCAGTTTACTTATACCAATCGTTAGTAGTATGTAAATATAAACATATTTTTTCTAATTTTTCTATAGATCAATTTTTATCAATTATTAGGTAAATAATAAAAAGCCATAGAAAAAAATGATATAGTTTTGAAACATAACTAATATAGGTATAGCGCAACTTGCTAGAATACAAAGTTTGAAATAAATTCTTTTATAGATAATGATAACTTACGACTTTCCATTTGCAATTTACATTCTTGCGTATCGTGAGGGTAAATCAGGAAATTCATGGCGCAAGAGAGTTTTAAGGTCAGTCTGAAATTTGTATATTTCAACTTTTACGCTTTAGAAATACAAATTTACGATACGAAAATAAAAATATGATTTGTTATAAACTCACTTGACCATGTAGAGAATGGTTTTGTCCTTATATAACCACAAGTAGTGATTCGGTATCGTCATTGTTTGAAAAGTCACAGACTTTGCGTTTTTAAAGAAAGAATCCGGTCGCCACATGTTTTTCAGCCAATCAACTTCTAACAATCTTAAATTTCGTTACGAGACAATAGCGGTCAATGTTAAAAATAGAGAAATATTATAAAAAATGTGAAAAAGATAACACAAATATTCTAAATGCAAAAGTAATGAAAAACTTCATAATAAATAAATTTATGTACCTATATTCGGATGTCATATTTTCTGGCAGTCGGAGTCTATTATCTTTCCACGTTTGGGCAAAGAAAATGTCAGCGGCGTACGTCTATAAAAGTAATTTACCGTCGAGATACTTATATTCCTCGTAAACAATAATTGATAATTAAGATAATACAAAACTACGTTCCCAAATTCTCATCAACAAGCAATTAGATTCATGGCGTAAAAAAATAAGTTTTCTAATGATATGTATTATCTCTCATTTAAAATTATTCGTTTACCATTGAATTTTCATCGATGGAATCGAGTCCCATTACAGTAACGTGAAAATATACAACGGTTGCTTGACCATCTTTCTTAGGAGGTCGCATTTTGTCATAAAATTTAGGATCCTCGGGTAAAAGATCGAAAAATTCTAAACTTCTCCTGCAAGTGAACATCGCGATTTTTGAAAAATATAATATATCTGTATTAATATTAACTTTTTATTAACAATAAATTGATTAATTAATTATTTAAATAAACTAAATAGTAGAAAAATAGAAACAGTAAAAATACATAAAATAAAAAAAGAGATAAAAATTTAATATGTATATAAAAATATACATATCACGTCAAATTTTTAGTGATCAATATATAAATCTAGATGTGCTATTAATTTAAGTTTGTTTTAAAAGCGAAAGAATTTCTTTTAATATTTTAATTAGCATTGCTAAAAATGTATGCCTTTTATCAAAAAATGTTTTATTCTATATACATCTACTTCTACAATTTAGTTTTTGCAAACTTTAGTTTAGTTTAATTTTTGCAAAATTTAGTTCAGTTTTTACGATAAACTGTCTACTTACTGAGCATTCGCAGCGCGGCCAAAAAATAGAAGAAGCAAAATGGATGAGAGCATCGCAGAAGACATATCGCCTCCGTGTATCTCCTCTATGGACATGCTTTTGTGTTAACGCATTTTCAAATTCGTGATAATTAAAACATACACAAAAAGGAGAGAAAACTAATTCACTTTGAGAAGGAAAAGAAGAAAAAAAAAAAAGAATGAAAAAGAAGAGCAAGAACCTCGAAATTCGGAAGCGGGGTTCCGGCGCGATCGAGCAAGCTGAAACTTCCTAATCGTAAATGCCCTGAATTTACGAGAACGGGCAGTCGACGACTGAGTTCTTGAAACGACTTTGTCAAATCTGCAGAATCCTCATCGTTGCGTATAGACGAGCTTCACGAGGACGTGGGGGTGGTGCAGGTGGTGGCGATGATCGGCAGTGGTGGTGGTGGTGGTGGTGGTGGTGATGGTGGTGGTGGTGGTGGTGGTGGTGGCAGTTGTAAAGGTGGTGGACCAGCGGTAATACTTTCCTATCGCCTATCCCACCTTCTCGTCCACTTAACAGAGGGAAGAAGTACTGGCGTTAAAGAAGGGGTAACTCTCGCTCATGACGTACTGGCAGCGGATAGAATCTGGAGTATCGCGCGCTGGATCGGCGAGAGAAAGAAGGAAGAAGGTGGTGGTAATCCCCCACGGGATATCCGTGTCATTGGTTTACGTCGCTTGAATTTACCTCAATGCGGCATATCATCGAGGCGCATTTGTATTCATATAATTTTTCCTGACTTTTTCGTTCAACTGCAACGTTTCGCGAGACTCGCTTACATATGTATTTCGTTCTTTTATCCGAAATTAAGTCTCATGAGATTATTGGATTCTTTACAAATTTACTATTTATTTATTTTCTTTAATTTTGTTCGCAACTGTTTTACGATTTACTTCTTTACGGACATAGCCCCAAAAAAATTTGATGAACTGATCGAAAAAGAAGAAATCTTAAAAATAAACATATTGAAAAGTACAATAAAAAATATCTTTCAAAAATTTCTTTCAAAAAAAAATCTTCAAATTGGTCAAAAAGTGAGATTATATATAATATTTTACACTTCTGAGATAGGTTTATGGGCGATATTACGCAATAATTAGTGTTAGAAGATGTTTATTATTCAACATGTTACATTGAATTTTAAAAGATTTCAAGATTAACAATGGTATTTGGAGGAAGACAATGCGCCGCCTCACATCTCCCTCCGTTTCTTCTCATTGAACTCTCTTGCCGAAAGTCCCTGATGGAGAGGCGCTAACTACCATGCAATTTGAAGTCACCGTGGTATGCCGCTCGATATATCGATCCCCGAAAATTGTGCCACGAATAGAAAGGTGTACGTGTTCGTCTCGCTCGTACGGTGTGTCGAGTGGCCACTTATCGAAAGAGTATACACACGCGTCAATGTGTATACGTGTAATCCCGCGACGGTGCACATACACACGTATCTATGCATGAGTGCAAAATGTAGTAGGAGAGGACATATGAAAGACAAAGGACAAAAGGGAGATGAAACTCGCGAGAGAAGATGCAAATTTGAAGCATAAAATTGAAATCAAAAGGGACATTCGCGTTCCATCGCTTCCTTTTTTTCTTCTCATGCAATTTGTCATTTGTGAAAATTATGTTAGTTAAGTCATTCCCGCATTGACATTCCCGCAGTCCTTCTCCATTCTGTGAACTGAAAGAAATGAGCTTACGCGCAATCTCATTAACGGCATCGCAATTAATTATAATGCCGCAATTGAAAATGCAAATTTTATTCGTGATTTTGACTTGATTAAGCGATTTTTACAACTTTATGATCCTCATATCTTTATGCATTTCAATTTTAATTAAGTACCCTCGAGAGTACAGTCCTTCAATTCGCATCTACGTTCTAAATGTATTCAAAGCGCCTAAAAATTATGAATCCTTAATTTTGTTTTAAATTAAAATTTTTCTCTTTAAATATTTTTATAAATATTACATAAATATATATATATATATATATACACAATTATTTAATAATTATTTGTAACATTTAAATTTGAAATCTATTTACCAATTTAATTTCTTCATCAACATTTAATAAAATGTTGATTAAAATCTTCTCAACAAAAATCAAAGAACAATTAGTTTAATACTTAAACAAAACGCTGATATTCATATTCAAATTGTAACTTATATTTTTAATAGGTAATTCTTAATGCGCTTTTTCCGAACCGCGACAATCAGGTCATTGGATCTGAAACAGCACTGGGAATATACTGGATTGTGCCGCACCACTCGACGTGCTTCTTACACAATTCGTTTCCTGGCACATTCTCTTACTTTTACGCGATGACTGCATTCTATCCACATCGTTATTACATATCTCGCATATTCACATATTCTCAAGACTAACAAGATATTAACGCATTACTGCAAACACTTGTGCATCGCATTTCCTCTATGTGAGGACAAATAATCGGACACATTGAAGAAACGGAAAGATCCTTCAGAAATATCGATCTGTATAAAAACAATTTTCTCTCGCATGCATCCGTATTCAGAACGTTAGTAGATATATATATCAAATTGATATATTCTTGAAAAAATGAAAGAGATATAATATTTTAAAATTTCTTCTCTCTCTCTATCTCTCTTTTGAAAAATCTATAAAAGAATATCATCTATTATCGTCTATTATATTTTTTATTATAATATACATTGTACTTCTATGTGAAACAAAAAAGAAAATTATTTAAAATGTAAGATTTGTTGAGAAAAAGATATCTCTGTACAAAGATAATTTTATTATTTCATTATATTATTAAACGAAAAAGTGAAGTGGGACAGTTAATTTTTATAACATTTATTAATTATAATAAAAATATAAATTATGTATTAATGTAAAAGGAATGTATCCGGAAGAGAAACTATTGTCGCATTCAGCTACTATCGATGACTCGACGAACGATGACAAAATCGATCACAAGCACTAGCTTAAATATCGTTCAGAAAAGGGAGTGATTACGTCAAAGGTTTCATGACATCATTTGAAGTATCATTGTTAAATATTCGAAGATACAATCTGCGATAACTCTTTTAACCTTTTGATTTAAAAGACGGAAATTAAAACGGAAAAAATATGTTTCTCGAAGGGTTAAAAATAAAAAACATGTAAAACATCAGCTTGCGAAAATGTGCGTTTCCCCCTTTTTATTTATTTATTTCTTTTTTTTTGTACAATTCTCGTATATGCTATTATGGTAAATTAGCAAAGTTCAGTTAGATCGAATATATCATATACGTTCCGTAACACACGGGTCCTCGTGCTTCTTTTCTCTTTTTTTCTGCAAACGTCAGCTGGAAGTGCTTTTGGAGTACGAGGAAGCCAGAGGACTAAGCAGGAAGGAGTGAAAAAGAGAGAAAGGGGTTTGAGATCGGAGGGATGGTATATCGAGGTAGGTGAGGAAGAGGGAAGTTCCGCGGAAGGGTAGTTGAAGACGATGCACGATAAGCACGCTCCATCCCCTTTCTCTGACCTCAGGCTGTCTCTCTGCGTCTTACACGCAAATTCACCCGATTCGAGACCAAAAGTGTTCACCCATACCATCCACCCTCTATTATTTTCGACCGATTGCCGATTGTCGCGCAAATGCCGACGTAAGAATTCTTCTTATACCTGCTTCGTGATACATTGGTATTTGAGGGATGATTTACGAGGTCGTTGCATGATGCGCGATTGCTAGTTATTGAAATAATTATTACGTCAAATGAAATTTGTCATCTAATGAAGTATGGCATCTTCACTGCTATATAATATAACATGCCTGAGCGCACAAAACGCTATAACGCTATAACTGGTCAACTTTATTAGTTTATAATTTGAAAAGTATTTTATATATATATATATATTTATTTATTTATTTATACTATTTGTTAGAATAAAGATAGTTTTTATTTTATACCGTGTAAGCGTCTTAACAGAATGATTGACTTCTAATTTTAAGACACTATTTTACGCTATATATTTACCTACCTTTAATTCTTAAAATGAAAAAAAGATAAAGGTAAGTTAAACTGTGCTCGTGAAATTAAACTTAATCTATATTGATAGAAATAGATATTAATCAATAATTAGAACTTAGAAATTAGTATTTTTATCGACAGTGTAAAAGAAAGGATATCGTTAATTCCAAAGCTGACGTTGATGGCGGTATGGTACAGCTTTGAAGTTTGCACTAAGAGGGCTCAGGTAATAGATGCATTTGATACTATATTCATTCTCTAAATTGCTGAACAATAGTTGACTATTGATTCTTACTAAAGTATTTATATTATTCTTTTATATTTATATTATTCTTTTATATCTAGATAAATTAATATACAGTAGACTTCAATCCGCACTTGTGCGCATCAGTAAATTCAGAATATTTGCTGTATCTATTTAATAAAAATACAAATATATGGAGCTTCTTGCTTGCTTTATCATTTATGACTCTTTCCGAGAGAGGTCTCGGATAGTTCTTTCTAACCGATAATCATTTCTATGATTGCGTTTCGATATTCACTGCCAATACTGAAAACATACAACAGTTTAGTTACATATATTATAGATTTTCAGTACTGGCATTGAATTTCGAGACGCAGCCTATATTATCCCGCATTTTGTAAAATTCAAATTATCAAACGTTTCATTTATCAACGTATTCTTTTACTTTTTCTAATGCGAAGAATTCTAAACAAAAACATTTATATCTTACGATAGAAAAAAAATAGTATAAAAATAACTTGTTTAATGAAGCTTAATTAAAAACTATATGTATATAATTTTAAATATAGAAATTATGTAGCAAAATCTACATAAATTATGATGTTCTCAAATCAAATTATTTAGTCTACATTTTCAACTAAAAGGTACTCAAATTACGTAATTTACACACTTCACGCTATGTATTCAATTTTTTATCTAAACATATCGATATATAATATCGCCGATATTTTCGCTAAGGAATATAAGACAGGAAAAAGGGAGGTTTTATAAAAAAAAAAAACATCCAATTAAGGTTAACTGAACAATTTATTCGAACATTTTTATTATCTCACAAAAACAAAAAAAGAAAAACAAACGATTTATTCCAACATTTTCATAATCTCAAAAAAAAAAAACGAAAAAAGAAAAACAAGCGATTTATTCCAACATTTTCATTATCTCACAAAAAATGAAAAGAGAAAAATCCATGAATATTTCCAATTTACATTTAAAGAAAGAAAATGCTATTCAAACACAATACATATAATATAGGAATGTTTCACAGAAACAATATTTGTGTACACACATATATACGATTTAGCTTTTTTAATTTCAAATCTCTACTTCTTTTCTTTCTTCTCCTGAGCCTTCTCCTGAACCTTCTCTTGCACCTTCTCCTGGATCGCTGGTTTGCCAGTATGCTCGATTTTAATCGCTCGTTCATTCTGGGTCTTCGGCTTGTCCTTCCTCGGGGCAGTGATGCTCAATACGCCATCCGATGACAAGCTGGATGTCACTTGATCGATGTCGCATTGCTCGGGTATCATATACTTGCGTACAAATTGACGTGAAATCCAGCCGTGCTCGTCCTGCTTCTCCTCATGCTTGGCCTCGACTACTACGCACTTATCCACGACCTTGACGTTGATCTCGTCCGGCTTGAATTGCTGCACGTCCAGGATCACCTGGAACTTGTCTTTGTCCGCCCTAACGGTGGATGTGCCACCCTCTTCCCTGCTGCGCATCAGCTCGCCCCACGGTCGATAGTAAGCCATGGGTGATGGGCGTAAACGTTGTCGATCACGTTGCTGGAGGGCGAAGCGCTCGAGGACGCCGGGATGGCAAAGTTGATCGGGGTGAATTCCCAAGCCGAAGTTTTGGTCGAAGAGCCGGTGCGGAAATTCCAAGTCTTCCCACCAGTCGGAGAACAACAACGGTACCAGAGACATATTGACTATTCCAAGAAGGACTTCAAACAAGAGATATGGAATTCACTGACAACTGAGATTCGCTCTGTCGTCGTCTCGCTTGCTCGTAACGATTGCGCTGAATAGCACTATTCGCGATTGCTTTCTGTCGACTGTTGCTAGGTCGGCGCGCGCAGCGAATTTTATAGTTATCGCAACTATACGCACGACATTCGCGCAGGCGCGTAAGAACTTACGTGCAATTTCGTGCAGCCTCTAGAACGTTCGAGGAGCGAGCGATACGCGAGCATATTCTAGAACTAACTTGCAATTTCGTGATCGGACTTACGCATTTCCGGCAGATATATAATCGTAATACGTTTTTCTACCCGTCTCTCCTCTCGGAAACCTGTACATTATTATACCTATTATCTATCTGACTTGAGAGTGATGGAATCAGATCATCATTAGATTTGAACTTTGACGCCACAGAGAATAATTTTTGACCGTTGCGATAATAAATGAGGAAAAGCAATTTTAAAGAAAATATATCGATTTTAATTTTTTACAATAGGAGGATGATTCTTCTCTTTAAAAATTTTGGAATTAAAAAAAATATGTGCAAGCAAAAACGAATTAATTATTGTTAAATTATTTTTACTTTGAATGCAACAAAGAGATGGTTTTTAATTTTCGCAAAAAAACTATTCGGTTTTAATGTTATAGTGTCATATAGTAAATTTCCAGCGATTAACTGAAGACTTATTATTATTATTTGAGATTATTACTAGAGATTATTATTAGATGTAATTCACGCGAGTCAGTGTCATAAAAATCGATTGTAATAATAGGCCGTAGGTTGCGTAAATCGCTGTTAATACTGAAAACACTGTTAATTCTTTTTTTTTCTTTGAAAATTTTTATGCATGCACTATATGAAATTTAATGTTCTATTTGTGCCTACACTTCTCGGAAACGTACACTTCTCTGTCTGGTGAATAGTCCTGTCTAAAAATGCAATAAGCATTTTAAAAAACTTTTAGAAATTTAAAATATTATAGTTATTTTTTACTGTTTTTGCAATATCTTATAACTTGAAAAACTGGTAATGAAGATTCTGTTTACGTCATGTTAATTATTTTTTTGTATAAACATTTTCTTTTTTTAAAACATTTTTTTTTAATTCAAGAATGTAAGAAACACAAAACAAAATCTTGCGACATTAAAATCTTTAAATATTTATTTATAATAAATTAATATAAATAAAAATTAGAAAATGAACTGCAGATGCTGATATTTAATTTCACATCTAATTAATCTGATTAATAATTTTTTTTGCAAAAAATTTTTTTCTTTTGCATGTTTTATCATTTTATTATGTTTAATAGTTTTGTAGAAATAATTCAGGAAAAATATTTGATGTTTCGATCAGAAAGCATTGTAATTGTCAGCCATGAAAGATCATTGATCCTTATATGTTTGACGGCGTATATACTGTCAATACTTGACACGTCAATCATCGTCAATATATCACCATATATTAATTATTAATAACACAATATATATTAATAACACAACGATGGCTCTGTTATTTTACAGTGATTTTACACTCATTTATAATAATGCTGAGAACGTCTTACTGTTTAGAAACCAGCGAATATTTGTCGATATTCGTTTAAACGCGCCACAATGTCCTTGGTCCCGCATATAAACAGTGTAATGAGAGAAAATGTATATATATAAGAATGATTCAAAAAAATCCATATGTCCTTTAAGGGACATATTTCTAATCAGTACATACTATCGCGACTTAGCTAACACAAAATAGAGAGAATACATGCATACATAGTATGTACTCACTCTATTCTGCGTCAGCTGATCGCGGTAAGCGCCTCACGTGACACTCGCGTGTAACGATGTAACGATGAATTGTACCGTCCCTGTTTAGCTCCTGTATCCTATAATACGCTAACTTTTTCTTTTTATAACTTAAAAATTGAGCTCCTTTGACAAACTTTTGCCAAAGGAAAAATCGCCTCAGAATACAATTAGAAATATGTCTCTTAAAGGATATACAGGTTATTTTAAATCACTCTGTACACTCTGTTTAATCGCTCTGTTTAATTTGTATAATAATATTGTCAATCGTACGATCGCGGAAATAGCCAAAATTTAATCAGGAGACATAACAGCTGTTTTATTTCTTTATCACTTTTCAATTAATAATGACCTGATAAAAATACTTCACACCTAAAGCGATTACCTGTTCCGTGTTGGCAACGCTAATGATTCTTGACTTTTTTATCGAGTGCTCTGTAAACGATGCCATGTAGCTATTTGTAACGACGGCTGTGTATATAATGCACTGACGGATGATGAGCGTATCAAAATGATAGACTATAGAGAATTAATTATTATTCTTAAATGATCCAATTAAACGTTGAATTATTTCACAAATGAAATGATTGTTGCGCAAATAACATTCAAAAATTTTTAGATTTTAGATTTTTAAATTTTGTTTTAGAGGAATATATTAATTAAAAATAATTAGCAGTACGATAAATTTCATGAATTAAATTTCTTACTTCATTTTTCATCAAGTGATTCTAGAATTTCTACAAATTTTGTTTCCTTAT